TTCAGTTATCAACTGTGTGAACCTCAGCAAATTACCTATCAGCTTTGTGACTCAATTCTCACCTATTTACAATAACAAAACAATAAGATCAATTTTCATAGGATTGTTGTCAGTATTAAATAAGATAGCATATGTAAAGAGCTTATAGCACAGGAACTAGCATTTAGTAAAAGCTGGATAAATACTTTTTTTTTTTAATTGTGTTAGTTGGGAGACTATGGTCTAGTACCTAGACCTGTATCCAGTATCACCTTGCAGCAAATATAACAAGTTTCCTCATGAGCATACAGTGTATTAAAAACAAAAAGGTCTCACAAATTATGAACATTTTTTTCTTAGGCTCTATAGACTCTTGTTTGTCTTCAGATCTAATTTTAGTGCATGTATCTAAATACATGACTAATACACAGTTCCAGACAGTCAGGAACTCTAACGTGGCTGGAAGGTGTGCAATGGAGGAGTTAATGGGAACACAGCTCAGGTTTGCCCCAAGTCTTTCTGCAATTGCACCGGGAACACTGCCTTCCTCCACCCTGACTATCCAGCACCCCAACACTGGGAATACATTAATTGCTTCATCTACAAAAATGAATAAGGACCCCTGCCCAGTTTCTACAAGAAAACATCCCTTTAGGACATAAGAATAGAAATAATAGAAGATCTTGGTTCAAGATTCAGACAAGTTCTGGGTTTGAATTCTAGTTCCAAGACTTTTTAGTCTTGTGACCTTCCACAAGTTGCTTATCCCTTTGAGCTCCTATTTCCTTATCTGTAGGAAGAGATAAGTACCTACCACATAGGGTTTATTGTGAAGGACAAACAGATTTTGTACCTTAGATAACTGGATGAGAATGCCTGTCAGGTGATATATTAATAGTTGTCATTATTAATAAACATGTCATCAACAAGTGAATTTTGCTGGTCTTCACAATCTTTTTAGATTTGGGGGTTGGGGGGGGCTTGATGTAGTGGCATATGCCTGCAAGTTTGAGGCCAGCCTGGGCTATTTGGTGAAACCCTGTTTCAAAATAAAAAATGAAAAGGGCTAGGGGATGTAGCTCAGTGGTAGAGCCCTTGCCTACTATGTGCCAAGGCCCTGGATTCAATTCCCAGTACCACACACACACACACACACACAAAAAAAAAAAAGATTTTGGGGGGACTCCATATTCATGATGAAATCTAAGGTCATCTGCTACCAAGAGTTGTCCTTAGTCAAATACTCAGAGAACAATAGACTTGTTATGTTAGGATAAGGGTGCTGTTAAAAACTAAACAAGGACTAGGGGTATAGCTCAGTGGTAGAGCACTTGCCTAGCATGCCCGAGGGTGTGGGTTCAATTTCCAAAATCACATACGCACAGAGATCAAAACATACCAACAAAACTGTCCAGGTTGATGAAATTATTCCTAGCTTAAAATGTCCCCATTGCCCATCAGATAAACACTTCTTATTACTAATGTCTTCAAATTTTTGCCCAAGAGCCAATTAAATTAAAAAATAATTTGAGTAATTGTTCTGCTAAGCAATAAAGATTCTGAGATATATAAGACGCTATTTTTCTTCTTTCCTTTCTTTCTTTCCATTCTTTCTTTCTTTCCCTCTCTCTCTCTCTCTCTTTCTTTCCTTCTTTCCTTTTATCTGCTTGTCTTTTTTAGAGGGTAGGAGTGGTCCCTATTTCGGAAAAGGGCGTTTTAATTTGAAAGGCTCTCTCTCTCTCTCTCTCTCTCTCTCTCTCTCTCTCTCTCTCTTTCTTTCTTTCTTCTGGAGCTGGGGATTGAACCCGGGGCCTCACATATTCTAAGCACGTGTTCTACCATTGAGATACATCCTCAGCCAGGACACTGTGTTTTTGTTGTTTTTCAATGCTGGGTTCTAAGCAAACACTTTACCAATGATTACACCTCCAAACCCCAAGACAATAATCTATGCTCAAGGAAATAACAGTTTAGTCATTGTCCTTTTGCTTACAAAGTATCCCAGAATTCCCAGTACCTTAGTATCTTTTACTCCATTTTTTCCCCACATATTTTCAAGAGGCTTCTTTGCCGAGCATGGTAGCACACACCTGTAATCCCAGCCATCTGGGAGGCTGAGGCAAGAGGATCACAAGTTTGAGGTCAGCCTCAGTAATTTAGCGAAGCCTCAAGCAACTTAGTTATATGCTGTCTCAAAAGAAAAAATGAAAAGGGCTTGGGACATAGCTCAGTGGTAAAACGCCCCTGGGTTAAATCTCAGTCCAAAAAAAAAAAAAAAAAAGGCTTCTTAATCTGCTTGCTAGTGAGAATTATTCCTTATGCTTCCTGACCTAACTTTGCCCTCCCCCAGCTCTTACTAAGCCATGCTGTTAATGTTTTTTTTTTTTTTTTTTTTTTTTAATAAATATGAATCCTATCTTCTCACTCAGATAAGTAATTCCAGGACATGACTCCTGTAAGTTCGTTTTATATTTCCATAATACCTGATATTCTGTTATTTCTACTTTCAATCATCAATGATAATTATGAATGAAATTTTATGAGCTTATATGAAGTATATAGTTTAACTTATCCTTCTAAGTCAGTTGGGTATGAGACAGATTTGGGTCAATGCTGCTTTCCCATATCATATCATCTGATTCACTTAGGAAATTTCCTGTCTCCTTTTGCCTTTTAATTCACTTTCTTCCATAGTGTTGACATTGAACAGCAAGCAGATCACTGAATTCTGCATGGAAAATGCCAGTTCTATTTTTGCATTTGGTCTTGAAAAACTTGAATCATTATCATCCACTCCGAAACCCCTCTAGAAGAGGACAGGGCAGCACCTCAGCACATCTGCAACTCATAGCCAAGCAGCAGGGAAAGCAGAAAGTATTTTGCCCCTATATCATCCTAAAGGGGACAATTATTTGTATCCTAATTTGAACTGAGGTAGAATAGTGCCAGTTACCTCTACAAGGATTTTTTTTGTGTGTGTGTGGTGCTGGGGATTGAACTCATGCCCTTGTGCATGCAAGGCAGGCACTCTACCAACTGAGCTAAATCCCCAGCCTCCAAGGATTCTTATACTTTGGGAAAAAATCCTGATTTTTCTGAAACCACATACTATACTTGAAATCTCTTTTCACCACAGAATACCGGTATCATTGCTCTTGTTACTGTAATGTCACCATGGGGAACTCTGGCACTACTCACATTGAAATACTATCCATGAGGCCATGGACAAACCAGTAGTAATATTCACCCAGATGAAATTGTACTTATTATATCAGAACACTCCCATTTCTTCATAGTCTTAGAAAAAAAAATTTAAAGAGACAAAGACCTCAGGACATAGGCAACTTCCCTCTAACTGAATACCTGCATTTATGGAGGGATGGGTAAGCAAGGCTGAAAGCAGGAAAAAGGTGGTTTGCTTGTGTTGTGCATGAGGACTCTGTGTATCAATCAGAGCCTTTCCAAAAGGAGGAAAATGCTTAATCCATTCAGTCAAATTGAGGAAAGAGGCAAAAGGCTCTAGGCTATGTATAGATTACAAATTGGCATGAGCTGTACCTATTGAGTTCCTGGCTGATCTCATTTTACAGATCAATTGAGATAAAGTAAAGAGAGGCAAAGAAAATGTAATAAGAAAAAGTAATGAGAGATTGAGATCATGACTATGATTTTTTAAAAATATTATATATTTTTTATATAACTGTAGAATGCCTGGAAAACCTCTATGAGTTAGAGAATTAGATAAAGTAGATCCCATTTTGAAAGGGACTGGAGATAACTATGATCACTGAAGTCTGGGTGTGGAGGTGAAGAGGATTATCTGAATACTGTACTGATTTTATTTGAGTTCAAGAGTGTTCTCCAGTGTCACTTTGCTCTCATGCCAAAGTGTCTCTGAGCTACGCATGAAACATGTTGTTGTCCAGAGAAACTGGTTTATGGGCCACAAGACATTGTAAGCCTTCACAAAGGAACTCTGGATAGAGACCACACATCAACACATTGGGCCTGACCATTCTGTATCCTTCTTGTGGGAAGAAGTAAAGCTGTCTATCAAAGATAGTAGAGAAAACTCATTCTCTGAAGGGCAGGAATGTGCCATTGCTTGACATCCATCCTCAGAGCTTCTCTGAAAAGAGGAAGCTGTGTTGTCTTGAGCTGTAATTGGGACTCCGGCTCTACAGAGGGTCTTTGAGAGAGATATCATCATGGTCTGCACTGGCACTGAAGGCCACCCAACTCCTCACCTTCAAAGCCTCCAAGACAGGACACATTTTACTCATCAATTCCTCCTGCACTTTACATTATAGTTACTATTCCCTTTGAGAACTTACAGAGTCTTCTGTATTAAGAGATAGGTGGATTCTACTAGTCAACTAGAGAAAACTGTAAACTGTTTGTAGAAGACCACAATCGGTCCCCTTTTTCTTCCATAATTTCTTCATCTGTGAAAAGTGAATAACAGCCCTGTCACATCTACTTCACACAGTAAAAGTGCTGCATAGGATGGAAAAGGCTATAAAAAGTCAAGGGATTATTATGGTGGTTGTTGCTATTTTTATTACACATTCCTTAGTTTCATCTAACATACAACAAAATATCTACTAAATATGCCTCAAAAGCCAGTTCACAGCCTGCGGAGGGTGTTTGCATAAAACCAAGTTAAAAAAAATCCATGTCCCTCAGCCTGAATCAGAACCTCCAAGTGAAGAGCCAGGTCACCTATATTTTTAATAAGCTCCCAGGCAATGTCGGAAGGTATAATCAGCCAGGTTTGTGACCCTTATTTGCTCCATTCTACGAAGAGACCTGTTTAGCCCGGTTTGGAGGAAGAGGCGTATGACAAACATGACTTCCATGCCTCTCAAACTTGACCAGTGGAGGTGGGTTAAAACACAGGTGACTGACAATACTTTTCTAAGAGTAGGAAGCAAAACCAGTGCTTCAGAGGGATGAATATCCCACCGAAGGACCCCTAGAGTGCGGAAAGGGCAGTAGGTGGGGAAAAAAATTGCACTCACCTACAATGATACCACAAGCACTGACCAATCCGATCTCTTTCTTCAGAGCTACTCCGCCCCCTCCGGAACCGGCCTCGGGACTGGCCTCCTGCTCGCTCCCACCTGGGTGGTTCTTTTCGGTGTTATTTCGGTGTCTGGCTCCTTTTTCCATCTTTCTTGTTAGGATTCGAACCTCCAAAAGCTCTCTCTCTATTTAAATGCATGTGCGGGTAGATAGATATAGAAAGAGAGAGAGAGAGAGAGAGAGAGAGAGAGAGAGAGAGAGCCTTTCAAATTAAAACGCCCTTTTCCGAAATAGGGACCACTCCTACCCTCTAAAAAAGACAAGCAGATAAAAGGAAAAAGTAAGATAATAACTATTCTGTATTGACGCTTTCTTATCACTCCTGCTTATGACAAGGAACGTGTTGTTTAAAAAAAGAAAAGAAAAGAAAAAGGAGACATAAAAATTTACATATAAAAATAGAACTGTACCAGCGACTCCAGCTGGAATTCTCCTGAAGGGGGTGTATCTTCGGAAATCAGGATGGTTCTGCTCCGTGGACCAGGCAGTGGCTTATTTCAGACGCTTCAAAAAGACAGTCGTCTGGATTTCCTCGCAGCTCTCCTCCTAACAAAACAGATTGCCTTTACCTCCCCCTTGGTCTTTTCGTTTAGGATGAGGCTAACAGTAGTTTTCATTAACTGGAGGGTGGGAAAAGGCAATCCTCAGGTACTTTCTTCTTTTTCCAGAAAGACAAAAGCTGTGGACCTGAGCGGCTTGCTCCAGATCTGCTTTCCACCTGCTGTGGGATTCTTTCCCCTTCCCGTCTTCTGCTTCCGCTTTTCCCAGATGTCCTCTCCTTTTTTTCGCTGGTCTTCTCGTCCTTTTTTCCCAGGGTCGGATCTCCGATCTTGGTGCTTACGGCACGGACTGCTCCATCGCTCCGGGTTACGGGAGAGTGGTTCCTCCACACGCGAATGTGCTTCCCTTTTAGCTAGGGGTTTTATTTGCTGACCCAGGCTCCGCCTCCACCTCCTGCGTTCCTCTCCATCCTCAGTCCCTTGTCCTCCCTCCTCTTCAATTTAAATATTAGCACAAAGCACACCCCCCCCACCCCCCCCCACCCCCGATCTCTGACAAAATGGATTTAAACATTTCTCTTTGTAATCGGGTCTTTCTCCTTGTAATTAAGTGGAAGTAAAATCCTTTCGCATCAACTGCTCCGGGAGAGCTCAGTAACCAGTATTGCAAATAGGTCGTACAGCATTTGTGAGCTTTGTAAAATAAAGGAACAGTGGTGCCCATGCTTTTAATGCCATCAGAAATGAACTGGCCAATGTATTGAAATATTTAGGTCTGGATCATTGGAGGATAAAGGAGAGAAGATTGTAGGGATAACATCTTTAAGAGTCGTTTCTTGAAATTAGGAGGAATCCATGGGTGGGGGAGGAGAGTAGAAGGAATTAAAGATAATGCAAAAATTTCATTTAGTGTTATTGTGAACTATAAAGGTGGGGGGGACCAAAATCACCAGGAAGAGGTGGCCTCACTGCTCACAACTCTTATTTAGGTACTGAAACATAAAAGCTATGACTCTGAGCCTGGTGTCACACTTTCCAATATTTTTATGTCTGTAAGTTATTTGAAAAGTAGACATGGGAATGATCAGACCCTCACTACTCAGGAAGCAGATTGACAGACATTGAGAGATGACTAACATTACCATATTGATATTATATCTCTACTTTCCTGAAGAATTTCACTCAAAACTGTTGCTTTACCACGGAAGCAGTGATGTCTATTTCCAATTGTAAAATACTAAAAAAAAAAAAAAAAGTATGAAGCAATGTAGCAGACAATACTATAAGTTTAAAGTTATTGTGGAATCCTATTAAGTATATTATGAACAATTATTTTATTTAAAAATGGGTCTAAAAAATAAAAATTCCTAAACGGAACAATTTACTACAGAAACTTAGACTTTTTGGAAAATGTTCCAAAAGATTTGGGGTTTTAAGGAAAACATACTTTTTATTCTTTAAATTGGGGTTGGATGAGCTATTGTACCAAAAGCTTTTCCAAATGGGGTAAAGTCCGACAGCAATCTTCTTTTCAGTCTGCTCCTTGATCACTCAGCAAGTACTAAGATGTTTCAAAGGTTAGAATTTCAACCCTTCTCCTTCTGCTGGTTCAAGATATAGCAATTTGAAAACCTCAGCAAAAAAAGAAAGAAAGAAAGAAAAAGTGTGGGTGGTGTATAAAGGATTTTCAACAAAAAGAACAGACAAGGCAGGAATATATAGCACAAAACTCTGTGGGAGAGAATGAGTCATGGAAAATGAAAAAATTTGAATTGCCTCTGGCCTTTCCTGATAACCTTAGAAAGCACTGAGGAAAAAAATTGATGGATTCATTTTTAAACAATCCTATTTGAAGACTTCTGCTCAGATTTCAACATCAAGGGATAAAACAATCTTTCTACTTCTCAAACGTGAGTTCTTCTAGTAATGCTTGTAGTTCTAATTTAAATAGTTTAGACTGACTATGGGATAAAATACAAGTATGATGAATTTGAAGTCTCTTGCTAAAACAAGTGCAAAATGACAGTGGGACTATAAGCTTTAGCCCTCTATTTCTGAATTATGAAGCTAAAGGTGGTTGTGAGATCAAATGCATTTCTGGGATACAATGTAGCACCAAACTGGTTGTTGAGGATTAATATTTCTATTTTTGTAGCGCTTGGAATTTATAAGTAACTTGACAGTCTATTAATGGTGTAGTTTAAAAGCTAGGAAAGGAATCTCTCATCCTTCAAAGGGACCATTCATAGTGTGTGCCTCTGTTTAGGTTGGGATCTTTTTGTGTCAAAATTTCATGAGACTTAACATTGAATACATGTGAGAAAGAAAAGTCTTGGTGTAATATGTTGAGAAATAGCTGTAAAAAATGATTAATTGAAATTATTACATTTTGAGCACTGAATTCTTTTTCATCTATGTTCATTTTATATTTATCTTTGTATTTTTATTTTACTCTACATTTATATATGCATGTATGTATGTGTTTATTCATTTCTGGTACTGGGGGTTGAACCCAGGAGTGCTTTGTCACTGAGATATATTCCCATCCCTTTTTAGTTTTTGAGACAGGGTCTCACTAAGTTACTAAGGGCCTAAGTTGCTGAGACTGGCCTGCAACTTGTAACCATCCTGCCACAGTCCAAGTTCCTGGGATTACAGGTATGTGCAACTACACCTGGCTTATTCTACATTTAAACAGTGCTCTGTAGTCTATAAACCATTTTGAACAATATCTCATTTCCCCCTCCTCATTAAATATCTTGGGTAGACAAAAACAGTTATTTTTTAAAAAAAATATTTTTATTAGCTGTTGATGGATTTTATTTATCTATTTATTTATTTATTTATATGTGGTACTGAGAATCAAACCCAGTGCCTCACAATGCTAGGACAGCGCTCTGCCATTGAGCCACAACCCTAGTCCCCCAAAACAATATTTTAATGATTTATTTTTTATTTTTGTGGTGTTAGGGAGTGAACCCAGGGCCTCACACATGCTAGGCAAACACTCCACCACTGAAGTAAAACCCCATACCCTATTGTATAGAGTTTAAAGATTAGGTAACTGAGGTTTCAAGAAGTGTCTTGCCTGGGGTCAAAGACCAGACACTTAATCTCTTCATGGGCAAGCAGGAGATCAGTGGTTTACACTGATTATTTTTTTTCAGGGCACTATAGCTCAACTTCTTTCACCCTATGGAAATAGAAGATTTTTGAGTATTACCTGGGCCCCTGTCATGTTTTCTAGAGTTGGTGTCATAGCTGGGCCCTTTAGAGATCCACCTTGATGCCAACATTTTTGTGAAATGAGACCAACTGGACTTAACCTGGGCCCTCTACATTTGTCACCTTTTTTTTTTTTTTCATTTTTAGCTGTAGATGGACACAATACCTTTATTTTGTTATTTCATTTTTTTGTTTCGTTTTTTAATGTGGTGCTGGGGATTGAAGCCAAGTGCCTTATGCATGCTAGGCAAGCGCTATACCACTGAGCCACAAACCCAGCCCCCATTTGTCACCTTTTTGACACAGTCCCTGGCTGGTCTATATCCTAAGAACTTAGTACAACTGTTTCCAGCACCTAAATGACTACTCCCATTGTTTTGCAGGCTTAAACTAGGAAGAAATTGATCCCTTTAACTTGGAAAAAGGTGGATGATGGAAGGGTCGTTTTCTTACTGTGTGGATTTAGGCAGAGAAAGGCTGTATGTGACTGACACCTACTGCACAAAAAGGGAGATGGCATGGAACTTGCTACTAGTGATAGTTAAACAAAAACACTGTCATGCTCCAGTATTCTCTTTTTGAAACAACACATAAAAAGTATCTGTTAATGTGAAAGAACAGAGCACAGAGCCCACTGCATTCCTGTTTTTTTTTTTTTTCTCCAAAATCTGGGTCAAATAGACAGTACATTATTCTTGTTCTTTGTAACAAGAGTCTGAGGCCACTCAGGACCCAAACATCTCCCTGGAACCAACTCACAGCCCATGTTCCCACTCCATTCTTCTTTTTGTATCTGTATGTCTAAAATCAGAAGAAAACCCTTTTTTTAAAAAATATTATTTATTTTTAGTTTTTCGGCAGACACAACATCTTTGTTTGTATGTGGTGCTGAGGATCAAACCTGGGCCGCACGCATGCCAGGCGATGCGCTACCACTTGAGCCACATCCCCAGCCCCAGAAAACCCTTTTTAAAAATAAAGCCTATGGTCCCCAAGATGATAGCTTCCTGAGCCAGTGGTTCTAGGAGATTTTATGTCATTTGAAAATGGAAAAAAAAAACCAGATGAAAATTCAAGAGAAAGAAGAAGAAAGCAAAAAAGAGAAAAAGACAAAAAGGTCAGAAAAAAAGGAGGATGGAATGAGAAGACTCAGTTAACAAGACTCAGTTTGCCTGTTTGCCTGCTGGACATATTCATAAGTTCAAAGCAAAGTTGTATATTCTAGGGTTTAATGCAGTCCTGAGAATTTGGATGGAGCAGACTTTATTTTGTTATGATGGTTAATTACTTCATGCTCTTCTGGATATAATGATGAATCCTTGCTTTGACATTATAGACAAAAATTCCAGCAGATTATCCCTCTGTCTGCTGCACTTGGCTGGAATCCATAGAGTCAACTCAGTACTAGTGGGAAAGAAATATAGATACACTCTCCATAGTAGGCTGCACACCTCCTTGACTTCTTTTCTGGGTCCAATCTGTCATGGGGCATTAATATTCTTTCTAAGGATTTACGTGACTCTAGTCTTAAGTATTTTTTTTCTTTCTTTCTTTTTCTCTTTTCTATTTATTTATTTATTTATGGTACTGGGGATTAAACTCAGGGGCACTTTATACTGAACCACACCCCCAGACCTTTTTATTTTATTTATTTTGAGACAGGGTCTCACAAAATTGCTTAGGTCCTCCCTAATTTACTGAGGCTGGTCTCAAACTTGCATTCCTCCTGCCTCAACCTCCTGAGTCACTAGGATTACAGGTGTGCACCACAATGCTCACCTAGTTCTGAGTACTTAATATGAAAACTTCCACTTTGTAATTGGTTTTTATTATGTTTACCCAAGATGAATGCTCATATCTTTTAAGATGTGGGAGATAAATTCCTCGAGGGTATAGACCTGCTTTCTTCCTTGTAACCTGAGTCCCTAAGAATTTGGATGGATACCTAAAACAGTGTCTGGAGCTTAATTAATAGAATATGAATAAATGATGACGTACATTAATGCATAATAAATTAATTAAATAATTACAGACTGG